CAAGTGGAAATGAGCCAGGTGTGATGGTGCAGGCCTATAATCCCAGCACTCAGAGAGGCTGAAGCAGGAAGGTCGCAAGTTTGAACTCAGCCTGGGCAACTTAGGCACTTAAGTTTTAAGATCCTGTCTCAAAATTGTCAGAAAAAAATTTAAAGGAGCTGGGGCTACAGATCAGTGTAAAGGCCCTGGGTTCAGTTCCCAGGACTACACACACAAAGTAAAAAACAACTGAGATATACAGCAGCACATGAGTGGATAAAGCAAATGTGGTACACTGGTGTGATGGAATATTATTTGGCTGTAAAAAGGAATGAAATGGTGGCACATGCTATAACACAGATGAACCTTGGAAATATGCTGAGTAAAAGAAGCACTGTATGATGCCGTTGGTCCAAAACAGGCAAGCCTATAGGAACAGAAGGTACAAGTTAGTGCTACGTAGGGCTGCAGGGGCAGGTTCGGAGTGACGGCTGATGGGCATCGTTGAGGTGATTAAGCAGTGATGGGTGCACAGTTCCAGCCACAGCAGACTGTGTGGATTACCTCTCAATAAAGTGGCAGGAGGCGTTGTTTTGTTTTCTGTGGTGCTGGGGCTGCAGCCCAGGGCCTCGCCCACGCCAGGCAAGTGCTCTAAGTCCTGAGCTGCTTCCCCAGCAGAGCTCCCAGCACCAGATGGGCTCTGGACCCCGGATCTTTCAGCTCCAGGCTGCGGGCAGCTTTCCAGCTACTCCCAGATCATGTCCCCCTCCCGTGGAGCCTGCTGGTGGCCGAGCCCAAAGCTTCGGGCGGCACCAAGATGACACCCCCTGCGACCCACTGTCAGCCCGGCCCTATGGCGTGGTTTGTTTTTCTAGGGCATAAACATATTTTATGGAGAAATAAAATGCACGATAATAAAGAGGGGGAGGGGAGCGCTTCCACAGGCCCACATTTTATTCGAAGGGGCCGTGATTTGGCATCCCTGGCTCGAATATGAAATTATTACACAAGAATTGACTCTCGGCGTCTCCGATGCTCCCTGGGATGATTGCTCCTATAACTTATGGAGACAGCTGAGCGTTTGTACTCAAGTGATCACATAAATTAATATCCATATGTGGAAATGCTGTGCTGGGAGCAGGCCTGCTTGCTGAATGCATCCCAGCGATGCTCCGCACACCTGAGGGGGTGGCCTGGCCAGGCCCTGCGCACAGCTCCACTCGAGGCCAGCGGTGTCCAGAATACAGTGAGAAGTGAGGGACATCACCCCGTAAGCAGGGACGAGCCCTGGAGGTCAGCAGGAGGAATGAAGGCAACTGCTTTCTTTCCTTTTTTTTTCTTTTTCTACACTGCTGGTGATGGAACTCAGGGCCTCACACGTGCCAGGCAAGGACTGTACCTCTGAGCCACGTCCTTGGCCCTCTTTTAATTTTTTAAGAATAAATAAACAACAAAAAAAAGCACGCACCTTAAAATTTAATGTTTCCCTCCTCCGGCACGGGTTTAGCCTAAAGCTCTAATTACACGTGTGGCAGTGAAGGCCTCCCAGTCTTCCTGCTTGCCAAAAGCTTTTATTTTGCTACGTGACAGGAGACAAAATTATCCCTTTCTCCCTAGGAGATTGCCAACCCCATGCCAAAGGTCCGCGGGGCTGGCGGCAGCACCAGCAGGAAGTGCCGATGGCCTTTGTGTGCAGAGCAGGGACTGAAAACACATGAGAAAAGAATGGGCATGTCCCAAACTACCTTCGCCCTCCTCATTCATTCATCCATTCATTTCTTGAAGTATTCAGCCTACATTTTTTGTGTTCTGAGTGAGTCAGAAAAGCCTTAAAGAATCTTGCCTTTGTGCCAGGATGTGGTAGCACACACCTGTAATTGCAGCACTCTAGGAGGCTGAGACAGGAAGACTGAGAGTTGGAGCCCAGCCGGGGCAACTTAGTGACTTAGCAAGATCCTGTCTCAAAATAAAAAAAATCAAAAAAGACCTGGGGATATAGCTCAGTGCAAAGGCCCTGGGGTCAGTCCCCAGTGGCACACGACTGTAATCCCAGCACTCGGGAGGCTGAGGCAGGAGGATCGTTGCAAGTTGGAGACCAGCCTGGGCTACAAAGCAAGCTCAAGACCAGCCTGAACTGCATAGTGAGACCCTGTCTCAAAAAGACAAAAGACAAAAAAAAAAAAAAAGATCCTGCATCAAGATGGAGGTGTGTCAGCCAGCAGAGCCCTCTCACGAGGGGCACAGTTAATCCCACTGTGTTCATTCGGGGGCTTTTCACACAAGGTAAATGTATGACCTCAGGTGATGGATAACCTTCGTGTGGCTCAATGGGAAAGTACCCATATGGGTGGTCTCTGCAGATTTGGCCACTTCCTCCTATCCTTCCCACCACAGGGCCACCTCTGTCCAGCTGGCAGCCAATTAGCCTCCTACTAGACGCAACCGCATTGAAAAACCAAGCATTTGTCCCAGCACTCTGGGGCGCTGAGCCGGAAGGACGTAAGTTCAAGTCCATTAGCAACTTAGCAAGACCCTGTCTCAATAGAAAAAATAAAAAAGACCTGAAGATGTAGCTCAGTGCTCCCTGGACTCAACCCCCAGTACCACAATAAAAAGGAAAACATCACGGAGTGCACAGTAGGGAAGAAGAGGGTGTGCAGCCTGGGACCACCACGCCGGGAAATGCAAAGGGGAACAAGGACGCACGTGTGGGCCCTGGGGGGTCCAGTCTGTCTTTGCAGGGGGTCGCAATGACTGAGAGGCAGTGACACTCTGGGGGCTGCCTGGTTCCCGCGAAGTGGGGTAAGACCTGTGCAGCTCCAGCACACAGCTGCTGCCCCGAATCTAGAGGAGACTCCGGCCTCTCTTTCTCAAAGAGGACCCAAACCGTAGCCACGCAGGAGAGACGCCGCCACACTCCAGAAACTTAATTGTGATTTCTTTGCAAAGCCCATGCCTTCCCACAGTCCAATATTTCACAAAAAAAATGGGAATGGAAATCCTTCCCCACTAAGAACGAACAGTGCAACGAGGGACAGAGAGCCACCGAGGCGGAAAAATTGCTTCGCAATATCCGCAGCGAAGTCTTTAACCAGCCCCGGCTGAGCCAGGGCTCCGGCCAGAGACAAGAGGTTTCCCGAGCGTGGTAGACGTTCCCCAGGGTTCTGCCCACAAGTCCTAAGGGCTACGTGGCACCCCGTGGTGCCAGGCCCGCCCGGCCATCCTCCCCCAGGTCTCTTGTGGGCCACAAGTTGGGGGTGGGGCTCCAGGCGTGGCCCCACGCCCTGCGGTAGATGGAAGGTGGCCCAGGAACACTCCGGGGCCGCTGCGGGAGGAGGCTATTTCAGCCCGGCTGCTGTGGGGCTCGGCCATGTGTCACTTTGCCCCGAGGAACACAAACACACGCTGCTTAGCAACATTTCAGTCAGCGGTGGACTACGCACACAAACGTGATGGTGGGGCCCTGAGATAAGAACGCAGCTGAAGCGGGGGCAGTGGTGCACGCCCGTGATCATAGCACTCCGGGAGGAGGCTGAGGCAGAAGGATCACAAGTTTGAACCCAGTCTGGGCAACAGAACAATTTAGTGAGACCCTGTCTCAAAATAAAAAATAAAGCCAGATGTGGTGGTGCACCCCTGTAATTCCAGCAGTCAGGAGGCTGAGGCAGGAGGACGCTTGTAAGTTTGAGGCCAGCCTGGGTTACAAAGTGAGTTCAAGGCCAGCCTGAACTGCATAGCAAGACCCTGTCTCAAAGAAAGAGAGAAAGGAAAGGAAAGGAAAGGAAAGGAAAGGAAAGGAAAGGAAAGGAAAGGAAAGGAAAAAGGAAAGGAAAGGAAAGGAAAGGAAAGGAAAGGAA